TATAAATGTGAACTTACAATACGCTTTTGATCGAGCTTGTGGGTGACAGAAAACAGGACAGATGTATCTAAGGAAGACTGATAAACTTAGAGAGTTGATTTAGATTTACTGTGGCTAAATTTGTGCTATTGATGCTGTTATTTTTAAATCTTGTTTATATTTATTGAGTAATATATGTGAGTTTTGTGGGTATGTAGTGTTACAGAGAGGGATATGCAACAAAGAGTGTAGTATATTGTTATGTCACTGAATATATCCACAATATTATGAAATGGTTTATAGTTTTAACAGCAAAATAAATGGCAGTTCGGAGTTGATCTTGATGTGTTCGGTGTTGACGTTCTAACAGGTACGACGGACAGGTTAATTTCGCTCAAACATTACGAATTTCATTTTCAAATATTGTGAAAGTGACCCAGACTCCTGAAGCCTGTGAGGTCACCTAAGGTCAAACGGAATGAACAACGACTCGAACGTGTCGGACCGTCTGTCGTTATTTAACAGGATACAACACACATATGAGCCCTTACAGCGACACGTCTTGGAGGAAAATAAGTCAGGTATGACCCTTAACTCTGACTTCTGTTCACTAAGAGAACATGTTAATGGTCAACACTTATATATATTTCAAGAACATTATTTTTTACCATGAAGTTAGAAAAAACATTCTTGAAAATTACGAGAAAACAAAATATCTAACTTAACTGAATACTACATGACATTTACAAACTGTAAATACATTTAATTCCTATGTATACGTACAACCCATGAATAAATTGAATTACTATGTATATATTTAACTCATATGAATACTTATAACTTATACGAATACTTGTAACACATGAATACATCCAACGTAACTAAATATAGACAACACAACATATATCAGATTCATAGGACGAAAACTGCTAATATATGTGTGTTATCCTGCACAGCTCTGACGACGCTTCTGGTTTCTGTTATCACAAATATTACCACCTGCCTGTCTCTGTACCCCGGACCGACACCAGGGAGCCGTACTGGTAAATTTTATGATGCCGTAAAGACTAGCTGACGTTTGTATCTTTTAGACGTATTTTTTTCTTTATTTAATATTTTTTTCTTGGTTTATCTTTATGTTATGTTATGTTATGTTATGTTATGTTATGTTTAGGTCATCTTAATTACACAGAAAAAGTCTATACAGTAATTATGTAGTTCATAAAGAAAATTGGCGGACATAATCCACGTAATTAGTAGAATTTTTAAGAGTTGCTGTCAAGTGAAGAAACTAAGACCCGGTGTTTAAAGATGCGCTGTTTAAAGACCTGCTGTTTAAAGACCCGTTGTTTAAAGACCCGGGGTTTCAAGACCCGTTGATTCAAGACTCGCTGTTTCATGACCCACTGTTTAAGGACCCGGTGTTTTAGAACCCGCTGTTTCAAGACCCACTGTTTCAAGACCCACCGTTTCAAGACCCTCTGTTTAAAGACCCAAGCAGTTGGGTCACCTCAAACACATTAACACACCAACGACAACACACAGTTAATTTAAGAACTTCTAACTATGTGAACCCTTCCAGAATGTTTCAGGACAAAAATACCGAGTCCACGTAGAGGCCTGAACACTGTGTTTTGTGGAACCGCGAAAACCATTTTAAAGTTTCGATTTCAAAATGCATTGTCTTGTGCCACTAAAGTTTAAAGTTTCGTTCTTGTTTCCCGAGTTAAGTTAGAATGGTGTTGTTGGCAAGACTTGCCCCCATGTTGCAGCCCAGTGTTCTTGTTCTTGCCCTCATGCTGCAACCCAGTATTCTTTTTCTTGCCCCCATGTTGCAACCCAGTATTCTTGCTCTTGTCCTCATGTTGCAACCTAGTATTCTTGTTCTTGCCCTCACGTTGCAACCCAGTATTCTTGCTCTTGCCCTCACGTTGCAACCCAGTATTCTTGTTCTTGCCCTCATGTTGCAACCCAGTATTCTTGTTCTTGCCCCCATGTTGCAACCCAGTATTCTTGCTCTAGCCCTCATGTTGCAACCTAGTGTTCTTGTTCTTGCCTTCATGTTGCAACCCAATGTTATTAGTCTTGCCCCCATTTTCTATCTCAATTCCTTAGTTTTACTCACATCTGTATCCTGTGCTCAGGGTTGCTGATTCTCGCCCGGAGTAGATTTCACTGTCAGGGTTAACTATCTACATCCATCCGTCCAATCGTTGTTATTGTTGTACTGTAGTGTAGAATTAATGTCGGTAAAATATATTGATGTAAAGAATTCGTCTGCTTTTCTACCTGTTCTTAATACACACTCCTACAGTCATAACACCTGGGATTAATTACTTTTCGTATAGATTTATTGACGACGATGGTATTGTAAATATTATGTTGTGTTCGGTAATATCTGTTTGTATAAGGAATCTCTACGTAACAATATGCAGTACTTCATGAGGCAGCAACACAAGTTAGGATATTCTCTAATTAAATTTTACTCTTTATCATTTCCTAGGACATCAATTCAACTTTGGAATTATCTGTTCATGCATTAATTCCTAGAGACATCAGTGTAAATTCGGAAATTAGTGTGTAAATTTCTTTATATATTATTTCCTGAGATATCAACATAATTGGGAAATATTTATTTACAATATTTCCTGATATCAACCCCAAGTTAGGAAATTAATGACTCTATCTTTATCACGGTTTATGTTGTTCACTAAGGTGTTTTTAGTGTGGCAAGCGAGGCTACTGAAGCACTCTGTCAACGCTCCTCGTTTAAGGTGTATAAAAAGTGGCTTACCTGGGCCATAAGTTTGTAATGGGACGATTTATGCTTGAAGATCCTCATTTCTGGCACCTGCTACCTCAACCCTTCCCCTCCTCCTCCTCCTCCTCCTCATCATCTTCCTCCCTTCTCCTTATTCCTCCTCTTCCTCCTCCTCCCCCTCCTCACCATCATCTCCCTTCTCCTTATTCCTCCTCCTCGTCCTCCCCTCCACCCCCCCTCCTCATTCCTCTTCTCTTCCCATCCTCCTCCCCTTCATCTCCACTCTCTCTCTCTCATTTATTTCCTCTTTTCTCACCCGTCACTCCGCCCGCTCTTCCGCTTCTCACCTCTCCTTCCTCATAAATTCCCTCCCTCTCATCTTTCTCTCCCACTCTCCTTCGCCTCTTACCCTCTCCCTCTTTTCCTACTCTCCCGCTCGCTCTCGTTCTCCCCTCCTCCTCTCACTCTTCTCACAGTCTCTCACCTCACTCCATCTCTCACACTCCTCTCCTCTCTCACTTCCCCTCACCCACTCCTCTCCCTCTTCTCTCATTCACTCCTCTCTACTCCCTCTTACCCTCTCACTCATCTATTTCCTATGCCGCTCTATCTCACACTCATTCCTCTCTATACCACTCTCACCCCTCTCCCAGTATCACCCCTCTCTCCCTCACACTCATTCCTCTCTATACCACTCTCACCCCCTCTCCCACTTTCACCCCTCCCTCTCTCCAAGGAATACTGCCAGGCCAGGAACATGTTGCCCCTCAGCTTCTATATGTTAACAGAAAAGTGAAAATTGTTGTTGAGGAAGATTGTGACTCACTCATTATACCTGGGCGTTACCTCAATTGAGCAGGTGATGGAAAGGGGAACTGGTGGCATGACGCAAAGGGTCGGCTGGAGTGGGAGGTTGAGAAGGCAGTGGAATGAGAGGTAAAAGAGTGGTGAAGTGGGAGGTGAAAAGGTTGGTAGAAGATTGGTAGATGGAGAGTTAGAAGGACAGGTAAAAGATAATTGAAGGAAAGGTATACAAGGACAGGTGAAGGAGAGATATAAGGAGGTAGACAGGAAGATAGAAAGGGGGGTAGAGAGAGAAGAAAAGTGGAGGTAGAAAGGAAGACACAAGAGACTGATGGAGAATGTGGGTCAGAGGAAGCTAATTGCAAGTGTTCCGGGGCTTACCTGTCTGCCAGAGAGGGGAGAACCTGATATATTCAAAGTGTGCATAGACATACACCTTTGCAAATTTTAGTATACATACGGGTACACATTCGTCCATATTCTTATATGTACACACACACACACACACATACACACATAATATGATATATATAAACATACTGTACCCACATAAATATTCACACACTTTTGCAAACATGTAAGAATCATGCAAGTCTATGCAAGTGTATCAATATACACTTGCATAGACTATACATATATGAGTAAATAGAAGCACACGGTAACACATATGGAGACATTCCTTATAACTTCGTGGTTCCAGGCAGGTCTTGACACCCAACCTTCCCTCCTCCAGGCAAATCTTAACACCCAAGTACCCAACCTTCCTTCCTTCAGCCAGGTCTTAGCACCCAACCTTCCCTCCTCCAGGTATGTCTTGGTACCCAACTTTTCCTACTCCAAGTAGGTCTCCAGTCAACAGGAAGGTCAATACAGACACAGATAGAAGCACTTAAGTCGCTACTCCCTTGTGGACGCCTCCCACTGGCACAGCTTCCCCCTAAGTGCTGCACCAAAAAGGCAATACTTGTTTGCAGCTGTTGTTACCATCTCGCTGCTGCACTCATGTGGTCAATGTGAAACTGAATTCAAATAATAATTATTAACCTCGCTTCATAGCCATCTCGAACATGGATGACGTGTTTTAAAGAGTCAGTTTATAAAAGGTAATCTTTCTTATTCATGTATATTGTATGATGATGCACCTGAACTATAGAACGTGTGGTGGTGAATATGTGGAAGTTTTATATGAAAAATGAAGAAGACAGAGAGAGAGAGAGAGAGAGAGAGAGAGAGAGAGAGAGAGATATCCCCCATTACATCTTACTGTCTATTGTATTTGTGTATATAAATCTAAGTAAACATAAACATAATTAAATAAATGTATCCCAAGATCATGATACACTAAGTTATACACCACGATAATGTATAGAGTGCAGCACCAGTACCTCACAATCCACCATCTCACACACACACACGCACATGAACTCTACTGACCCCCTTCTCTACTCTCCTTCAGGCGGACTATCCAGAGAGCAGCCTCCTTCACGTCCAGAACAGATCTGGGATAATCCACTACTGCGCCCCGCCTTCGACAACACCACAGGCACCGACATCGTTACCTCCACCGGCCGTGTCGCCTACCTGCACTGCCGCGTCAACCACCTCGGCAACAGAGTAGTGAGTACGCAGCCTGTCACGTCTCCTGGATGATTCCGTGTGTAAAATGGCTATACTGACGCCTATCAAGCTCCATTTAAACCTTACACATAAATTTTCATATTTCAACATGTTTATACACAGACAGACAGACAGACAGACAGAAAATCCACCAGATAGGAAGTCAATCAAAATGACAGACAGACAGACTGACAGAAAGAAAAATCTAAGAGAACAAGAGAGAGATAGAGAGAGAAATTTTAACAATGTGAAATGCCAAAAGACTTCCCTTGTATTTAGTGTTCACTTGGTTAACAATGCCGAAGTATTTCATAACCAAAACAATGAAGGCTTCGAGGAACTATCTGACCGGTGAGGGCCTCGAGTGATGGTTATTTCCTCGTGGTGTGAGTATAATGTGGGAGAGAGAAAGTTGCACCCCCTGAAAGTGAGGTGCAAAACACACACACACACACACACACACACACACACACACACACACACACACACACACACACACACACACACACACACACACACACCTGAGTCACGAGCTATGAGGTCACCAGCTGTGTGGTCGCCAGATATTAGCTATGAGGTCACCAAATACCAGCTATAAGGTACCAAGTACCAGCTATGAGGTCATCAAGTACCATCTATTACGTCACTAAGTGCCAGCTATGAGGTCATCAAGTACAAGGTGGGAGGTCACCAGACGCACTACAACCAGCAGGGAGACGGTACCCCCAGGCGCCCAGCAGCAGTGAGCTATGGGGTGTTGCTCGGCCTCCAGTGTTCGAGGGCAGTGATCCCTCCTAGTAGTTCAGCATGAGAACCCCTCCTTAAGGCAGCTGAGATAATGTCGCATTCTCTTATCCGCTAGCCCACACCACCCCCTCTCTCCTACTCCCAGAGCTTACTAAATTATACAACATAATTATCGCCAAGAAGAGAGAGAGAGAGAGAGAATTGTGTAATGTGGTGATTAGACAACTCCGTCACCCCACTCCCCTTCTCTCTCCCACCCTGCCACACTCACCACCCCCTTCCCCTCCCCATCCTCCTCCTCTAGAAAATACACCTCCCCTCCCCCTCCCCCCAAACCCCCTCAGGGAGGGTAACTTGACACTGACGCCAGAATAAAGTAAATTCTTCTCTCTCTTCTGGCAAAGTCTTTCTTATTAGTTGTATTGGTGAGGGCTAGTGAAGGTGGGGGGATGATGGAGGTGAGGGCTGGTAGTGGTGAGGGCTGGTGGTGGTGAGGGCTGGTGGTGGTGGGGCTGGTGGTGGTGAGGGCTACTAGTGGTAAGGGTCGGTGATGGTGAGGGCTGGTAGTGGTGAGGGCTTATGGTGGTGGTGAAATGAGGGGTGGGAGCGGATGGAGGAGGGGCTGGTAGTGGTGAGGCTGGCAGGTGGATGTGGGGGCTGTAGTGATGGTGAGGGCTGGTAGTAAGTAAGGTTGAAGTAATGGTGAGGGCTGAAGTAGTGGTGAGGGCTGGTGGTGGTGATCCCAAGTGGTGGAAATAACAGATGGAGGGGCTGTGGTGATGGTGAGGGCTGGTGGGTGGGGCTGGTGGAGGTGGGGGCTGGTGGTGTGGGGGCTGGTGATGGTAAGGGTTGTGTGGTGGGAGGACTGTGGTAGTGGTGGGGCTGGTGGTGGTGAGGGCTGGTGGTGGTGGGCGTTTCAGGTAGTGGCGGGTTGGTAATGGTGAGGGCTGGTAATGAGGCTGGTACCAGAGTGGCTGGTGGTGGAAGTGGGGAGTTGGTGGTGGGGTTGTTGGTGAGTGTTTCTGGTGAGGAAACTGTGTGACAGGTGAGGCTCAACCTGGTGGTGTGGGCTGGTGGTGTGAAGGCTAGTAAAGGTGGGGGCTGGTGGTGGTGGGGGCTGGTAGTGATGAGGGCTGGTGGAGGTGGGGGCTAGTGGAGGTGAGGGCGCGTAAAGGTGGGGTTGTTGGTGGAGGTGAGGACTAGAGAGGTGGGGGCTGGTGGAGATAAGGGCTGGTGGAGATAAGGGCTGGTGCAAATAAGGTACTGGTGGAGACGAGGGTTCCTGACTAGCATGTGTGTGGTGTGGTAGAGGTGACACATACAAGTACTGTAGTAAGTGACCTAGGTAACCAGACTCACACATTAAACTCGTGTTGGTGACATTTCACGACATTTTCAGCGTCCATCATTCAACCTTGGCGAAGTGTTATAATATTTATCTTATCATATATAAATTCAAACTGACTTACCAATATATATAAAATTCGGACCCTGCTCAGATTTGGAAATGCCATCCTTGTAATTTTGTTCTCGTATTAATATAGAATTCATTTTCTGAATGTGTAAGGTTTGGGTATAATAATTTAGAAGAAGAGAAAGATAATAATTCTTAAAATATTTAGTTGCGTGTGTAATTTCTGGGAAAATTTGATACCGACTGACTAATTTATTAATTGAACGACATTTTCTATCCGTCAACGGTAAAAGAATTAAAAACAATTTCATGGTAAGTTATGTGAATATACCTGAACATAAAGTAATGGCTAGACTCCATCTCTCTCTCTCTCTCTCTCTCTCTCTCTCTCTCTCTCTCTCTCTCTCTCTCTCTCTCTCTCTCTCTTTATCCTTCGAACGTTTCCTTAGGGGAGAGCTCTTACATGAAATTAATTTTCTGCTACAAAAGAAGAGCTTGCAATAGATGCCACTGCAATACAAGAGACGGCAATTGACATACAATCAGAGGAACTACAATACACGGCACTGAAAGAGATGGAATTACGCGAAACATCAATACAAAAAAAGTTGTATTATCAGCAGAGAAAAATAACAATAACTGATAAAAAGACAGAAAGAAAGAGAGAAGGTAAGGAGAGTGTAGGAGAGAAAGGAAGAGGTGAGAGAAAGAAGAGAGAGTTAGAGAGAGTGAAGAAAGAAATCAGGGAGAGACAACGAGAGAAGATACAAAAGGAGAGAGAAAGAAACAGAAACAGACAGACAGAGGAAGAGACAGTGAGAGCTAGTGGGTTGCATCATATGATTTGTGTGACAGAGAATACTGGAGGCGCTAGACGGTATTAATGAAGGAACAGGGATGAGAGGAGGGGGAGAGGGAAGTGGCTGATAAATGAAGAAAAAGAACAAGAAAAGACTGAATGAATGATGCAAAATTGGGGAGAAAGTAACATAATTTGTGAGAGTGCGAAATATTGGATGAAAGAAAGTGTTGATAGTATGTTGTGTCTTATGTAATAACGCACACACACACACACACACACACATACACACATACACATACACACATACACACACACACACACACACACACACACACACACACACACACACACACACACACACACACACACACACACACAGTTCTGCCCCACCTCCGCTGACTCAAGTCCCTCGGAGTTCCTGCACAGAGCTCCTCAGTGTTTACACAACATTCATACTTCCCAAGCTCACCTATGCCTCCCCACCTGGTCTTCCTCCCTAAATGCCACACAACGTAAACACCTAGAAAAGTGCAAAAGAGGGCATGCAAGATTATTCTCTCCCCTTCCTACTCCACACATATCAAGAAGCGCTCAACACACTGACCCTTTCGACTCTCACTGACCATCACCACGACCTCATCTGCAAATTTGGTAAGAAGCTTCTACACCATCCTCGACACCGGCTCCTACTACCACCTGAGATCCCTAGTCCGAGAATTGCTGTTCGACACCACAACCGCATCCAGCCCATACGTGCACGAACTGATCGCTATAAGAATAGCCCAGTCTCAACCATGGTAAAAATTATCAATAACTTGTAATAAATCAGTGTATTCACTCCCAGTAAACACTGCTCCTTACACTGTCACTATGTTGAAATGAACTGTAGTTTGAGCTTTTCCCCATCTAGTTATTATATGTCTCATTTGTGTCACTTATGTTACTTGTATATTATTTGTAATTCGTAACCCATTCCCCAAATATGTAACTGTATATTTTCAGCCTTCTGGCTGCCAAGCTCTTTCAATAAACCGTTAATTATTATTATTATTATTATTATTATTACACACACACACAGAGCGAGGATTAACAATCTATCTATCTATATATCTATCTATCTGTCTGTCTGTCTATCTGTCTGTCTGTCTGTCTGTCTGTCACTTTTGTCTCCTACTCTTTCGCCTTATATTTTTATAAACATAACATAACATAACATAACATAACATAACATAACATAACGTAACATAACGTAACATAACGTAACATAACATAACGTAACATAACATAACATAACGTAACATAACGTAACATAACATAACGTAACATAACATAACATAACATAACGTAACGTAAATATAATAATATATTTAAGGGGCTATATAAATATAAATATAATATAAATATAACATATAAATATAAATATAAATATAATATAAATATAAATATAATATAACATAATATAATATAATATAAATATAATAATATAATATAACGTAAATATAATATAAATATAACATAATGTAAATATAACGTAACATAATAATAATATAATATAACATAATATAATATAACGTAATGTAAATATAACAAATATAAATATAAATATAACATAAATATAAATATACATTATAAATATAATACAATATAAATATAACATAACATAACATAACATAACATAACGTAACATAACGTAACATAACATAACGTAACATAACATAACATAACATAACATAACATAACGTAACATAACGTAACATAACGTAACATAACATAACGTAACATAACATAACATAACATAACGTAACATAACGTAACATAACATCAACATAATGGAATACCACTCAATGAAACTTCGCTGGATATAAGAAATTAGCATAAAGAATATAATTACCTGGGCGTTTTTCGTGTTCCTTTAGATGTAATGCACGTGTATTATGCAAAGACTCTCACACGGGGAGGAGAGAAGGCTGAGCCAATGTACTTTCCTTCCCAGCTGAGGAAATTCTTATTTTCATTTCAACATTTCTTTGTGCCCGA